CACTGAAAGTCTTTTGACGTCCTCGGCGCGCAGCGGCCAGGTTTCTGATCCATATAGTAATATGGAGCGCACCGCAGCATTGTAAACCCGACCCTTGACAGAGAATCTGATATCACGCCTACGCCACAGGTGGCGTAGGTTTGCAAAAGCTGCTCTGGCCTTCCCAATCCGGATGGAAATATCATCTTTCGTGAGACCACCATGACAGCTGCCTCGGTAAGTAAATTTGTCTACTAGCTCAATCGGTTCATCCGCAAGCACGAGGCTAGGGTTCGAGCCCACCCAGTCTCGCAGCAGCATTTTACACTTCGCAGGTGTGAAGCGCATGCCGAACCGCGAGGCAGAATTACTTAGATTACTTAATATTATTTGCATTATCACGGGGTCATATCCCAGAAGAGCTATGTCGTCTGCGTACTCGATATCTGTGAGCGGAGGCCCAGGGAGCACTCTGACCCCACATTTTTGATAAGGAAATGCATCACTGGTGCCGTATTCGTCCTTGTTTCACTGTAATTTTCCCAGTCATGCATACCGCAAGGTTTTTGTTCCAGGAATGACTTGATTTTTCTCAACTCTACCCAGGCGAAAAATACATAGAGTAGTGCAAAATATCGGATGCACACAAGTATGATCACTCATAAGAAACCCAACTCGAATTTTCTCGCATCTTTTGTGTGATTGTTGATGTATATACTAGAAAATATATGTGTTTATTGATCTATATTCATTTATTTGCATATATTGATTTCGCTCTACTATCAGTAAGATAAAGTTAAAATTCCATAATGAGAAATGAAATCCACAGAAATCAACCGCTTGAAAAGCAAACTGTCCGGCTGATGTAGTTAAAATGTGAGTTCGCGAAAGACTGAGAATAGACCACAGAGTCTAGTATTCTTTGGGTTAGACGTGAACTTAGGCCTGCCTTACGTGCTAGGCGAAGAATGAAATGAATAAACAGGCCATAAGTAACAAGTTACGATGGATTACATTGTCTTACTACAACAGTATTATAAAATGGATGAGGCTGTCTTGAGGGCTACGACTCAGAACACATGGAATTCATTTTGGCAATTCGACGCGTAGGTGGTTCTTACACACGCCGCCGGGCTTATTTTGTGCAGCCATGTTTACAATTCTTAGTCCGTAAAGTACATCTGGTTTCAGTAAAAGTGAAACAACATATGGTGAGACATTCGCATTCCAGATGTGGGTTAATATTAACCAGAATTTATGTACTTTTTAAATTTCTGGTACAGAAAGGTACCATTTGTGGAGAAGGGAAATTCCTACAAAATTAGGAATTAATCACACAATAAAGTCATTCGAAAAAATCCACAATTACTGTGGATTAGTGAGCTCAATTCAAACTAGTTGATGCCAAGCAATTCACATGTTTCCAATAGACGGTTCAGGACCTTGAGACGACGATTAAGTCACAAATGTGATTGAGCGCGCCAACAAACGTGGGTATTTAATAGTAGTTCGAATGTATGAAACTGAGAGAAAACATTTACACTCGTAATACACTACTCATGAGGTCGCTGAAAATTCCTTGACAGTCCGCGACCTGTTTCGCTCTTATTGGGGCTCATCAGGTTAGCGCAGTCCCCGGGTTCTAGTTAACCTTATGTTCTACTTGAAGCCAAATTGCACGAAATTAGAGAATATACACTCATTTGCAAACTAATTTGGTTTTGCGAAAGACTCACCTGGAACCCAGCTGAATCCCTCGTTTATGATGTTCTCAGGCAACTGAATGTGCTGCACCAGGCCGCCTCATGTTTCAGTCAGTACGATATTCGAGATATCACCGCACACCAGATTCATCTCAATTTACTAGTGGTAGTCTACTTGTGTGAATCGTAAAAAACGTTCAGTGTGACGGGTTGAACAGTTTGAAGGAACAGTGATAGATTTGTGACAAGGCTACAAATGCCTGACCCACAAAACAAGTAACAAGGATTTTATTGAAAAATGTGACCAAAACGCCACTGAAAATCATTTTCACAAGTAAATGTGGGCCATACACTACTGGTTGCTGAAGATTCCTTGACAGTCCGCGACCTGTTTCGCTCTTATTGGGGCTCATCAGGTTAGCGCAGTCCCCGGGTTCTAGTTAACCTTATGTTCTACTTGAAGCCAAATTGCACGAAATTAGAGAATATACACTCATTTGCAAACTAATTTGGTTTTGCGAAAGACTCACCTGGAACCCAGCTGAATCCCTCGTTTATGATGTTCTCAGGCAACTGAATGTGCTGCACCAGGCCGCCTCATGTTTCAGTCAGTACGATATTCGAGATATCACCGCACACCAGATTCATCTCAATTTACTAGTGGTAGTCTACTTGTGTGAATCGTAAAAAACGTTCAGTGTGACGGGTTGAACAGTTTGAAGGAACAGTGATAGATTTGTGACAAGGCTACAAATGCCTGACCCACAAAACAAGTAACAAGGATTTTATTGAAAAATGTGACCAAAACGCCACTGAAAATCATTTTCACAAGTAAATGTGGGCCTACAACATCCTCCTTGTACAGGATACTGGAAGGTGAACAAACACCGATCTATCACATGTTTTTTAGATTGTGGCTACGAAATAGCCAACCTGGGGAGAAAAAATCCTGAAAATAACACAATCTATTGCTATTTGAAAGACACGATAACAGAAGGAGATCAGTTCATGCTTGTGTAGACTTTTGCTTGGTGCCGCACGACGAAAAAAGTTGGTCGCTCAGGAAAACTTGTTTAAGTCCATTAGCCAACCTCAGAAAAAATCCTGTCCAAGAAAATACAGAGTACTGTTGTAGCCCACTGGGTCACAGGAGACCTCCAATTTTGGCGATATGTTTAGCTTACGTGATGTGAACGATAAACTGGTGATTCTTTGCTCCCAGATGTCCAACAAAGTTAACGTCCCGGCAAGAGTTGGAATAAACACGTGTGGTGATCTTATATAAGGGAAAAACCGAGTGCTGTTTGTGTATTCGATTACGAATTACCAAGTAAGCGACATTCTTTTTCAAATGAGGATTATGTGAAACAATCACAATTAAACTGTGGGGCCTTTTTATTGCCACGACCTATAATCGTTCCGTGTGTAGATTCGGTTGCAAAACCTTTACTCAGTTCTATCTGAAAGGTTCAATTTCTACCATCACCGTTGACTGCCGCAAATGCAAGTGATTTTGTGCAGGTCAGCTGGGAAAAACTGCCATTTGTCCTTTCAAACAAAAACAAAGCAACAGCGAAAGTTTCCAGTAACAAGTAAGCATACAAATTAAACGCAAACTCACTTGTTCAATCCAAACATTCAACGTCAACACCTGGTTTACTTCATCCTGAGAGTAAAACAAAATGGAAATACATGGGGGCAGTTGAGGCAGGTTTGATTTGGCGGTAAGCAGCTCAACCGTTATGCATCATGAGTTACAAAAAACCACAAGTATAAACGTATCAACTGGACGAATGCAACAAAATCTTCATTAATATCGAGTGGTTTAGGAAGCTGCGCGACACTTGAGTTTGTTTCAAAATGAATGCCCACCTTAGTAACATCACAGAATTTACTCCACTTGTTCATCTGTTGGGACAACGCCAATTTATTTCAAACCAGGCGTCTAAATAGTTGCCGAGATGTCTAAAATGAATTTCAAACTCATTCGCTCGTGCTTTTAAAAATCAAAGGAGAACCCATTTTCTCCACATGGAAACGGGTTATCATAGTCCAGTAAATTATTGGAGCGTCCGCAGGTCTATTCTAGAGTGGATCAGTCACGGAATCAGATCGGCATTAATTATTTCGATTGTTTTATTTTGGTTTGTCCTTTTGTCCATCATGTTGTATCGTATTGCAGATGGACTTTTGGTAATGTCGACCAATTATAGTGTATTTAAGCTGCCGACCATTCGTTCTAACGGTTTTCTTGTTCTAAATTACCAGATGCTGGCAATTCCGACCCAAGTGAGCAGGGTCGAGAGGAAAGTGCTCAGAACTTGGAAGAGCAGCATCTTCCTCGTGAATAACCTCTACATGTACAGAAAATGGTACCACAGATTATTGATCGAGGACATGGGAAATGTCATGTCAAAACTCTGGAGGGAACGTTCTCATCAATGAACCTTGTAATCACACTGTGCGGGTTGTGATCAATGTCAAGAACAGGTGTGATTTTGCGTCCAGGAACATCTGGTTAAATATTTTGGATCGAAACTGGGAATTTCCCAAAAGAATTTGAAAAGTAAATCAACTCAAGGCAGCTAGACACAAAACGCGAAGGAATACGATAATTGGACCGTTTGTCCGCCGTCGTAAGAAGATACTTTAATCATGTTTGTAATGTGTCGACGTAGCTTTCAGGTTCGTGTGAAAAAGCCGCCCGAGTTTTATCAGAACTTCAACCAAATCGGTGACTACTCAAATGCTCGAGAGCGATCTGATTACAGAATAGTCAACGGCAATTAAATTGCCAGAAAATGACCTCTCCGTGTAGCAAACTTGTCGTGCCAATAAAATCAATGAAATTGTTAGCTATAGGCAAGTTTTTCCTGTTGGGAAGAGGGCCGGCGATCAATCTCCCCAATTTGTAACTTGTTTGCTCTCGAGGGTCGGGCTCTGCTTGGCCCAAAAAACCAGGCGAATAGTGGCTTTCTGGGACAATTCAAGGTTTTTGCAGTCACAAGAAAAATCTAATTAAAACAGGTTTTAATTTGTTTTCATCAATGAAACTACTCACAAGGTTGCTGAAAACTCTTCAACAGCCCACTAACCGGTTTCGCCCTTCTTGGAGCTCAGCAAGTAGGCGCAGTCCCCGAGTTTCCGTCAACTTTATGTTCTACTTGAACCCAACTTGGAGTGTTCTCGAGAAATATACTCATTTGCAAATCAATTTGATCCTAACGAGGGACTCAACTGAATCTCTTGTTTATGGTACACTACAACTGAATGTACTGCTGAATGTGTTGTGGTTTGGTTGGAGTGACGATCGTTCTAAATTCAAAATCACAAGAAAACCGTCGTTGCTGTATGCTTGGCCAAAGAACATCAGCCAACGGGACTTTTTCCCAACACACCTATTATTTTGGCTAACAGAGCAGTTCACACCACATGACCGTTTGCTTGCTCTTGGTCTATATCTCTTCTTGGTCAATGGACACCTTTTCCTCATCTAACAACAAAACTGTCTTCATTCCTAACCAAAATTTTGTTAAAAATCGCCTCACAAATTCGCCCTGGGATGTGGGAAAACGCACGGTTATAGAATGCAGTTGAAAGAGTATTTTCAGGGTTAAGACACGCACAATTGTGTAGATTTTTGTTCGAAATCTCCAACAACGCTCAATTAGCTTGCGCGGCAGTTTTTCTTAT